ACTCTTTCTCTCCTGAAGACCCCTACCAAGCCTTTGGCAGGGACCTTGGCTGGGTCCACTCGAGTCCAGCTTCTCATCCAGGGCCAGTGCCTGAGTGGCCATTGCCATCCCCAGGCCTGCTGCTGGCTGTCCTGGAGAGGTGCGGGGTCATTCCCGAGGTCCAGACCATCGATGGAAGTAAGGTGGGGGCTGGCACGCTGGCTGCCGGCTACCAGAACTTCATCATCTGCATCGAGATGCTCTTCGCCTCCATCGCCCTGCGCTATGCCTTCACCTGCCAGGTGTACTCAGAGAAGTCGAACTCGCCAGGTATAAAGGCCCTGCCACCCGGGGACACCTGGAACATCACAGGGTGGGCCTGAAGTGAGGTGTGGACAGCCCTGCCCTCAGCACCAAGTCTATGTCGTCCATCCTGCACTCGAGGCCCGAGGATGTCAAGACAGGGAGACATCCCCATGAGCTCTGAGCTCTCAGTGAGATAGGGCTGGACCAGGCCCTCCTAACCCCCACAATAGGGGTTGGTATCACCCCAGCCAGGTGTGCCTCGCCCCCACCACACCCAGACTGACTGGAGGGGCGGGGGACTGCTGGGGCTGGTAAACGGTCCATTTGGGCAGGAATGGCCTGTGGCTGCCCAGATGTTGCCTGGCTCCCAATTTGGCCAGTCTAAGGGGTGGCGCACTTAATGGTCTGAAGGGTTCACCCAGGCCAGCTCAGAGCTCCTCAGAGACTCCAGGGGGCTGTCAGCCCTGGCAGGAGTATGGGTGGAGACAGACCCATACTCCTGTGGTTCAGGGGTCCTGGGGTGTCTCCTTCTGCTGGCTGAGAACCTGGAGTTGCAGGAGCCCCAACCCTGGGCAGCCTGAGGCCAGAAGGAGCAGATGTGTCAGGATGGGCTGGGGAGGCAAGGCTGGGGGTTGTGTCTCTGAGTCTCTGAGAAGCCCCTAGCCACAGCCCACATGTGCACCCTCTCTCCAGCCCCCACAGCACCCATGCAGAGCATCTCCAGTGGCCTCAGAGAGACCATGAGCCCCCAGGACATCGTACAGGATGCCATCCACAACTTCTCCCCCACCTACCAGCAGTACACGCAGCAGGCCACACATGAGGCCCCGACGTCTGGCCAGGGTGGGCACCCCTCGCACGGCACCCACCCCGGCACAGCGGGCAACTCTGGCGGGGGCAAGAAGAGTCGAAACCTGGAGAAGAGGATGCTCATCCCCTCAGAGGACTTGTAGGGGTTCTTGGGGTCATCAGTGCCTCATCACTACCTGGCTAAACACCCGGATTGCCCAGGCACAGACAGGACAGGGCCTCCTATCCAGCAGCCCTCTCGCCAAAGGTCAAGCCTCTTCTAAGAGCCCTCCTGTGAGGTCTGAGGGGCCCACTGCCATCCTACCTCCAGCTCATGGATCAGGGTGCGAGGAGGCCCTGCCAGGCACCCAGGGCCCACATCATTCCCCGACGGGACTGCTGGTGGGAGAAGGGACTTGAGTAAACCAAGGTACTCTCTGGGCTCCCCTGGCCATGCGCTCCAGCTGGCTGCTGAGGCTCCAGAGGAGCTGTGAGCTGCCTGACAGACTGATGGACAGATCCCAGGCTGGGCAGCTGCAGAAAAAGGTGGGCAGGGGAGAGCTGGGCAGCCCAACCTTAAGACAGCACAGGAGCTGTGGGCCCTGTGGGCTGGTGGAATCCACTTAGGCTGGCTGGGGTGGACAACTCTGCTGAGCCTTGCTCAGGCCAGCTTGGGGACATGGGAAAAGGGCCATCACTGCTTCATACACTCCAGCCAGGGGGAGCCCTGGCAAGGACCACCCCCTACCATGGGGAGAGTGTTTGATGTGGGTCCGGGAGGTACCAGGGGGGTACCAGGGGCCCACCTGCACAGCATGTTGAGCTAGCCAGCCACATGCTGCTTCTTGGGGTATCGCTCTTATTTATATATAAAACACCTTGGAGGGACCAGCAGTTAGCATAATGGCTATGTCACTGGACTCCTAGGTAGTCGACCACGGTTCACTTCCTGGACCTGGTGGCTTAAAAATCATGCCGGGCGTGTGTGCGTGCGTGCCCAAGATCCTGAGAGGAGAATGGAGGAGAAGGGATTGCGGCATGGCCATCCCCCTTGGGGGGTGATTTCTCGCTTTCTGTCTCTCTGTCTCTCTCTGTCTGGCGAGCGCACGCGCCCTATAGCAAAAACCGCTCCAAAAAAAAAAAAAAAAACTTTGGATTTTCTAATGACTCGTGGCTTTTGTTCCTGCTGGCTGCAGTGTGGTGGTCAAATGGGGCCTATATGAGTCTGAGTGCTGGGGCAGGCGGGTCCTCCCTGTCTGGGGCAGCCAGCTGTAGTGCTGCTCAGAGCAGTGCAGGGCGAGAGCTCAGACTTTGGGACCGATGCCTGACTTGTGCCCTGGGAGAGCTGGAGCAGTAGCCCCCCTCCCTGGGGCCTTGACTTCTGTGAAATGGGCCTCGTGCCAGCCTCACCCAGCAGCAGGTGAATGAGGCCATGTGGGCACAGCCCAGAGAGTGCTGGGGTACAGTGGGGCTCCTTCCTGGCGCCCGCCTCCTCTTTTCCTTTTCTTCTCCTTTGTGTGTTAGGCAGGGCCCAGAGTTCCAGGAAAGTTGAGGCGGAGACACATGCCCTGCCCTCAGGAAACTGGAGGGGCCCCAGTAGCCTCAGAAACAGAAAACAGCAGCTGAGGGATCAAGCCAGGGGATCGCCTCCTGGAGGGCATGTAGCTAGGTCCCACAGTGGAGGTGTGTCAGCACATGGAGGGCATCGCAGGCAGAGGGGCACAGGGCAAAAGTGCAGTGGCTGGCGTGCAAGCCGGGGGCAGTCCTGCATGTGTGGGGCCTGTGGCACAGTGGTGGGGCTGGGAGGAGGTGCAGGTTAGGTGGGTAGGGCCTGGGGGGCTTGAGGACTGGGCGTGGGTGCCAGGGCCTGGCTAGCCAGGCAGGCGCAGCAGACAGGAAGGCTGGGCAGGCACCACCCAGGGACAATAGCTCCTGCTCACGCCACTCAGCTGCCTGCTCCCACGGTCACCAGAGAAAGGAGACGCGCCCAGGGTCTCAGACTCAGCAGGATGGGAACTGACCAGCAGTGTCAGGGTCAAAGTGGGGCCACTCCCCTGCCTTCTTGCTCCTTGGCCTAGGGACATGGGGACTCAAGAACTGCAGCTTCTCCGGGTCCCAGCCAGGCTGCCTGATAAGATAGGCAGAGCTCCTCCCCGCACCAGCTATAAATACCCCCACCTGCCTTATCGTGACCTCTGCAGCTGGTTGACCCGCAGTAGCCCCCACAGCCAGGCCCCCATGTCTCATGAAGCCAGCAGGCTTAGGAGGGGCACAGCACTTCCCAGAGAACGGCCCACCAGGAAGGCTGCAATGAGGCACAATGCCAGGATCAGCTGGTAGCTGAGGGAGCTGTAGTGCATGTTAGGCCTGGGGGTTACCCCTTTGGGACCCAAGTCACCTAAAGCTGTGTGCACAGAAAACAAACAGAGAGGGCTCTCTCTCTGGGAATGCAGACCCTGTGTGGGCTAGGGGCTGCAGGGGCCAAGGTGCCACAGGGTGACCATTTGCTAGGTAGCATTTTAGGCCTGCCCTTTGGGGAGGGGGAGAAGCCAGCATCAACCTAGGCTACTGCATTGCAGAGGACAGTGTGGCACCTTACTTAACCCTCATGGCAGCGCTGGGAGTGGTGGTCAGCCCACAGAGGTCAGAAAGCAGCCTGAGATCACAGAGCTGGCAGAGGCTGGGCTGGACCTTGGCCACAGGTGGGCCACTGTCTGCACCCTGCCAGGATCACCCCCACCCTGCCGACAGGCCTGTCTTCCACCGTGACACAAAGTTAAGCTGTGAGGGCTGAGCATGATGCCACTCCTGCCACAGGTGGGACACAGCCACAGGAGGGGTCAATGGGTGCAGTCCAGGCTGCCCTTTCCGCCCCCACTGGGGGCAATGTGGGCATGAGCAAGGGAGGAGGGGCAGAGAAGAAAGGTCTGTTGTGGGATGAGAAAGAAAAGCCCCAAGTACAGGCTGCACCCCATGGGGTAAGAGTGGCCTGCAAGGCAGGCAGGAGTAAACTTTCTAGGCTTGCATTCCCATCTGTGAGATCGCAGTCGGAAATGCCTAGGGACCACACAGGTGTGAAAGTTCTGAGAGGCCCTTCCTGGATCTGATGCAGGGTGGGTGACCTGTGCAAGACTGAGTGCCCTTTAACAACTTCCCTGTCTGCAGCCTCCGGGAACCCCCATGAGCTTGCCCTGCCACTGCCACTGTCAGCGTTCTCCCCGAGCCCCTGGCCTCAGTCAGCTGCAGGGAGGCCCGGCTATGCTGGAAGGAAATGTCTATTCACTGGTAGCCTCTCAAGCTGGGGACTTCCCTCGATCCCCATTGGGTCAAGCGTCTTGTGTGTATTTATCGTTACGCCTGGTTCACAGAAGAAAATCCAAGTTCGTATCTCAGACCTCCCTGAGCCTGCCGGGCACACCCATCAGTGATCTGGGCTGGCTGAGACAGGTGCACCATGGTGTGAGCGTCCTACCAGGAATTTCTCTCAGCCTCTCTCTTTCATGAAAGAAGTAAACTTTAAAAAGAATGGGAAAGGGGAAGGAGCTGGCCAGCCCTAGGTCACTGGTCTGGCATCAAAGCACAGCCCTACACTGGTCAGCTCAGAGCAGGTGGGATGGCAGCTTCTAGAACTCCCCCACCTTGAAGTAGGTCTCCCTGCAGGCTGGACCCTCCTTCAGAGGCTGCACCCAAATCTTGCCCCATCTGCCCCTCCAGCTTCTCCAACTGAAGGACACTGCAGCAGGGGCTGTTCCCAGGGAAGGCTGGATAAGGGGGCAGCACCCAGTCCGGACAGCCCAATAAGCCCTTGGCTTTTTGAAGCCGGCTCACTTTATGCCACTGTGCCCTCAGCCCCCAAAGACTCTGCCCCTTTCCCATCTTCCTACAGGCTCATCTTAGAGCCCACCCAACAAAGCTGGGTGAAAGGCCTGGTTGGCACTGGAGGTGCACTCGGCCCAGCAGAGGAGAACTGCTTACAATCTGCTCTCTGCTAGCTCCAGCTAAAAGGGAGGGGCTGAAGCAACAGACTGGAGGCTTCTAGACAGGGTAGGTTGGGATAGTCGAGAATCCTGGCTGCCACCTAGAGAGGGAGCCCAGGACACAGGCAACAATGGCCAGGCTGCCTTTTGCCTGGCTGACCATCACAAACGTCCCGACATCACAGGTTAGCAACTAGGACATCTGTTCAGTGGTACCCAGATCCCGACCCCATCTCTTCCAGTTGGTGACAGGGAAGAGGGTGCCAAGGGGTCCAGCATACCCAACAGCCCCTGGTCTGGAGTTTTCTTAATCCAAGGCCACTGCAATCCAAGGACCAGATGGCAGCACAAGACTAGCAGATGGTGTGATGGTTATATCACTGGCCTCCCATGTAGTCGACTGCAGTTCAAGTCCTGGACCTGGCAGCTTAAAACTCACACGAGGCATGTGTGTGTACATGCACAAAATGCTGGGAGGAGACTGAAGAAGGGACTGTGGAGTGGCCATCCCCCCTGGGGGGGTGATTTCACGTGTGCCTGTGACCTGGCTGGCTGAGAAAGGTGGATTATAACATGAGAATCCTATTAGAGATGCCTGTCGCTTTTTCACTCCCCCTCATGGAGAAAATAAATAAACCTAAAAAGAAAAGCAGTCCCAGTCCAAAGCACCAACTCTGCAAGAGGATCTGAAACAAAATTCTTTATTGCAAAGGTACAAAAGCAGTCAAGCAGCGAGATGTACAGCAATAAATTAGGTGGTGGTGGAGACGGGGGCAGGGCGGGGTACGAGCGCAGGCCATGCGCCCAATAAGGGTCCACACGTATGACCCCTTCTCAATAATTTATATCACGGTACAAAGCAGCACAAAAATAAATATTGAAATGAAACTGCCGAGTAGCACAGAGGCCAGGAGAAACTGGAGCCGAGATGCAGCAGACGGAGGGTCCCTATTGCCTTTGAAAAAGCAAAGATCTGCCTGCTTTGGGAAATCTGAGGCACAGAGACAGAAAACAAACCCACACGACAGAGAGGTCCTTGTCTTTTCTCTTAAATTAAAAAAAAAAAATCCATATATTAAATCGTGACAATGAAATTTCAATGATGTGAAAGGAAAAGCAGAGCTTGCTCATCTTCCTTTCCTGGCCCTGATCCTGGGCAGCAAGGCCTGGGCAGAGGCACCCCCTGGTGGTGAGGGTAGCTCTATCCAGCCTGAAGGCCTAGGAGGAGGACACTCCAGCAAAGCACTAAGGCTGGGGGTGACAGCCACCCACAACCGACAGTCACCTGCCTGCAAATGTCCCACAGGATGGGGACACCAAGAATTCCCATTACTGGAATTCCCATTACTGGACAGAATTTACAACCTGCAGCAGCCCACAGTGGGGTGCCTTGCTGCTGAGCAACACCTGCTGGGGGCAGGAGGGCAGGCCTTGCTTCCAGTTTGCCTGGCACTGTCCACAGGAAGACTAAGGGGAGGCAGCAGGCAGCCAGGAAGGAGGCCAATACTCCCATCCCACCCAACCATCCAATGTGGCTCTGCTTTAATAAAGTTACAGTATCAAACTGGAAAAGAAAATGTTACGAAAATGTGTATGATAAAATGTGTATATAATTTTATATATATATATATATATTCTTTTTCTCTCTCTTTAAATATTTCCCCATGGTCCTTATTGATATCCAATATGGATTACCTACCATGGCTATGGTATCAACAGCTTTTTAAAAAACATCTGGGCCTTTTGCTCTAAGATCCAGCACACCCCCCAGCACTGGTTGGGCCCGCAGCTTGGCCTAATCCTTGGCACTCCCCCAGGACCTGGTGAATGGCCAGCCAAACCCAGACACTTTCTGTTTACTTCTATCAGCAGACCCAGAATCAAGCTGCTGCCCTAGGGGCAGCCTGTCCTACACCTTCCTGACGTGGTCAACACTTTACACGAGAGGTTGTAGCTTGCTGGGGATCTCAGTGAGGGGAGGACTGGGAGGGAACTGGGCGTTGAGGCACTGAAGCCTCCTGCACTGCCTCTGCTTGTCCTACATGGGACTTCTGGCTGATGGCAGAGGCTCTAGGACCACTGCCCCCACCGACTGCTGAGGTCCCAGTCACAGGAAAGGCAGAGGAAGGAAGCCCAAGAAAGTTCCTCGAGGCCATCATCAGTGGCTCAGAGTGCCAGGAACAAAGCAGGTTCCAGGCGATGGCCAAGCACCAAGTTGCAGAGTCCTGTCTACCCACCGACAGCTTGTCAAGGTGCACCTGGCTGATTTGAGCACAGGAAGCACACCCATAGGGCTCTCCTGGCCCAGTGCCCAGCCACCTCCCCTCCTGTCACACCCTCTGACTCTCCACTCCTCACTGCATGGGCCTCCTCTATGTCACAGGGGCCTGTGTCCTGGGTCCCACCCATATGCCTCCTCCCCAGCAGCAGAAACCACAGGTGGCTGCCAGCTCATCCCTCAAAGAATGCCCAGCCCGCACCTCCACCAACATCCTAAAGACTCAGCTATTCTCCCAGCTGCAGCAGCCCATCTCTGTACCCCCGAAAGACCTCCACATTCTCCTCGACACTGAGCACACCCAGTCAGAAGTAGCTCCAGGAAACCAGCTGAGGACTGCTCTTCATCAGTAATGGGACTTTCCTGCTCCTCATCTCCACAGACACCCAGGGACCAGCCTGCAGGGTTGGGTGTCCTGCAGCCAGGCAGCTACTACTGAGCTTCACCAGGCGACCTCCCTGGGTCACCAGACACTGGGAAAACTTCACAACATGCGTGCAACTCTCTGCCACACATACCCACAGGCCCTCCCTATACAACCAGCCACCAAGCCACTCCCCCAAGGCCCCCAATGCTGCTACCAGCATGCTGCTGTGACAGCAGAAATGCCTCTGCACACACACCATGTACATGTGTATACACATGCACACACACTGGCCCGCTTAGGCGGCCCTTCCCTTATCTGCTTTACAGGGCACAGGCCTCACACTAAGGGCTAAAGCAGGTCACTGTGTGTGTGGACAGGACAGCTGGAAGAACAGGATTGCCAGCAGCACACTCTGCGGTCGCACTCCCCCTCTGGGGCTGCGGGAGTTCTGTCAGGGTAGAGGGAGGCTCCTGCACCGGCTGATGGGCCACAACAGCCCAGGCACCAACAGGCTACTCACAGGAGGAAATCTGGAAGACAAGACTCCCACCCTGTAGGCCGCAGGGGCCTGACTCCCAGGGCCCTTTCTTCTGGCAGACCCTGCAGGAGACGGCATGACCTTCTAAGGACTTCCCTCTATGCATCCTATCTCCTGTGGGGGCAAGTCACCAACTCCTAGGAACAGTCACATCTTCTGGGGAGAAAGGACGGGGTGTGTGAGTGTATATGCACATGTGTGCGTGTGGGGGTGGTGCGATGCATGCAGGCTCACAAGAGCCTACTCTCCATCCTGCACCTACAAGCCTGTCCCTGGCATGGGCTGCCCCAGCCCCATCGCAGTCTGCACCTTGATGTGGGTGTGAAGAGTCTGTTGCAGGGGCCCTCTGACAGGCATGGGGGACGCACCCCTCACACCCGTGGGCACTAGGATGCAGCAGAGAAGGGTGCAGAGGTGGAGGAGAGCTCGGTAGACTTGACGATGGTGATGACGCTGGTGGTGGCCACCTTGGTGGGCACGACGGGCCCGCGGGCCACAGTGCGGGCGAAGGTCTGCAGGGCCTCGTATTTGGCGCGCAGGGCATCAAGCTCGCGCCGCATGCTGCTGTTCTCGCGGGCCAGTGTCTCCACTTCCTGCTGCAGCGCCACCCGTTGCCGCTCCAGCTCCTCCTTCTGTGTCACCCGCTTGATGCGGCAGCTGGCTGCGTAACCACGGTTTTTGAGTGTGCGCCGGCGCTGCTTCAGCCGTGTCACCTCCTCCTTGCTGAGGCCCCGCAGGTGCTGGTTCAGCTCCCGCACCGACATGGACACCAGCTCATCGTCGCTGAGCACTGGGGCGTTCTCGCCCACCTCCTTCTTGACCTGCAGGGCCATAGTGCAAGGTGAGCCCAGGAGGGCACTTCAGGGGGTGGTGGAGAACCCAGGAGTCACACCAGAGTGAGACGGGGACAGGAGCCCGGTGTCTGGTGGCAGCAAGTCTGAGCAGTGCTGCTCATTTCCTTCTTTCTAGGGCTGGCCTTTGCCTTCTGCACCAGGGAGAGGGGGTGGTACTGCAACTACAGGACACTGTGCCCAGGACGGACATGGGCACACAGGCAGCCTACGTGATGGAAGGCCGCAGGGATGTCAGCACCACCTGGTTACCACCGCCCTCCCAAGCTCCACAAGGACACAGGGCACATGCATCCAGCCTGCCGCGAAGCTCCAGCACCTGGAGACTGATGTAGGCAGGAGCCTAGCTGACTCTTCCAAGGGGGGGCTGCAGCGGGGGCATGGCAGCCCTCTCTCCATCAACAGTTAGTGGAACAAAACAGGACTGTGGCCAGATGGGGCCACCTTGTACTGGCACAGGCCTCAGAGAGGGCTCAGAGGGGTATGACCCCAGCTCCAGCTAACTCAGCTCTGCACATGGCTTCCAGGAGCTCCCCAGACAGCTGGCTAAGGGCACAGCAGGGTCAAGGATACTTAGGAGGTGGCAAGCACAGGACACAGATAGGCCAGGACCTTGGAGCTGTGGCATCCCATACTAGGAGGCCACACTGCCCACACCTGGTGGGGGATGATGAGCTCATGCAGGAGCATGACCATGGACCCTCCCTTAGGAGTCATTTCCCTGTATGTCAGGGCCATGGTCTTCCAGGGCCAGCTTACCCACCTCTTCTGCCAATAACGTTCTTCCAGCCAAAAGTACCCCCAACCTATTCCCAGTGACAGGGCTGTCCCCCTCATATCCTCAGGACAGCCATGAAGGAAAAGGCTCCCAGGGCTAGAGGGAATCTCCCCCATGCCTGTGCCCATCCAGTCCCGGTCCCGCTCACCTTTAATGCCTTGTTTGGTTTGGGATTAGTCGTCATAACCTGGGCACAGTCACCAGGACGGAACTGCTTGGAAATCGTAACTAGAAAACAGAAGAGCACACAGAGGCAAGCATGGTTAGGCCCTAGTGGGCTCAGACAGGGCAGATGCTTCTGGCTGCAGGGATGCTCTGGGGAACTCAGGCTCTGTTTGCGCTGCCTGGTCATAGTGCCCTAAAAACAAGATAGGGCACCATCACATCCCAGCCCATCCTGAGGGGCTCCCTGGGGGCTCAGGCAGAGGCCTGTCATATCTCACATTCCAGCATCAGCCAACAGAGTGGCCAGGCCCTCCCTCATCCCAGGGAACGGTGGCAGCCCTTGCTGCCCCCACCCAGGCTTGTGCCAGTGCTGCAGGGCAAATCTAGGTGCCAGCAATGTTGCTTTCTATTCTGACTCCCTCCTGAACTAAAACGTCTACACCTGTGGGCCTAAGGCGCTATGTCTTGAAGACCAAAGCATCCAGCAGCGAAACCACCCCCAAGACAGCCATACCCACTAGCACCCGAGGAGCACAGCTGCTCTGCTGAGCAGCCTCCCAGCCTGGCTCCACAAGAGCAGCCCCTGTCCTTGCCGAGTCTCACCCCCAAAGATGGACCCAGATAGAGCCCCTGCCAGCCCTCCCCAGAACCGCCCTCCCTGCAGGCCCAGGAAACGCCTACCACCACGAAGGGCACTGCAGCTGAGACATCACCGCTTCCACCTAAGCGGCCCCACACGCCATGACCCTGTGGCCCAAGGGGCGGGCTGGGGCCTCCCAGTGGGCAGTGGGTTCAGAGGCTGTGGCCGGAGACTGGGGAGGTGGGGAGCCGCC